TTCAGCTGGCTTCTCGGCTGGTTTTTCAGCTGGCTTCTCGGCTGGTTTTTCAGCTGGCTTCTCGGCTGGTTTTTCAGCTGGCTTCTCGGCTGGTTTTTCAGTTGGTTTTTTGTCTGGTTTTTCTGGATCTTGTCGTCTATATAATATAGATCTACCATTTATGCTAGCAGGTGAGTCCTGCCCACCACTTACTATTAAAAAGGCATCTTCTTTGTTACTACTTGAAGCCTCGCCCGTCATCATCAAAATATTGAGTATTATTATTATTATTATTATGACAGAAGCCCATGTTGTTACTGATATTTTATTCTTCATAATTGACATTTTTTAAAAAATGGCAATCGTCTAATGAAAAAATTAGTTAAATAAAAATTAATTTATATATGTGTATCTCCGATTTATTTTTAATGAGGGGGAGTTCTCATGTATGTTTGTATAATACTGCTAAAATAATGCTAAAATTAAAAATGAAGTTATATTGATAAGAAAAGTAAATGTTGATATGATGTAATTATGAATTTAAAAAGCGAAAAGAATGAAAGTGATTTATTGAAAAGGAAAAGTAGGAATTTAGCTTAGAGTAAGGAAATTAGTTTATTACTTTTTTTAAAAAAAGGAAAGTACGAAATTTAATGATAAATTGTTAATTTAAAGGAAGGATATGTGGTGGGATAAGGATTAAAAACGCTTATTAATGAGTAGAAGATGAAGAAGCATAAAAGAATGTAATGAATATAAATATACTATGTTAATTAAAATCCAAAGACCACCGAAACCAATTAATTGGTTTATAAAGGGCAAAATAATAAAAAGTAAGGAAATTTTTACGAAAAAAATCCCTTTTTAATAAAAATGAAAAAGAAAGAAAGAAAAAATTATTGCAAAGAGGGAAGAAAATTTAGAATTAGGAAAACAATGTACTTAAGATTTTTTTAAATTTTCAAGTTGTACATGTTTCATAAAAGGTTAATATTAAGTGGTGGTGATACATTAGCATTAATCGTTGTAACGTGATCACAATACTTATATGGAACCAATCATGCTTTACGAAAGCCTTCAATTATTATTTTATTACACAAAATTAATTCTTTAAATTAAACATTTTCTTTTTGAAGCTATTAGGATTTTTGAGTTCTAATTCAAACCAGCAATACTAGATATTTTCATGAACTTTAATCCAATACTTTCATAATACGGGTAAATAAAAAGTTATTGTCAAAATATTTATAATAACCTGCAGGTGACGAATAATTAATTATCACTAAGAGAAGATATATTCAAAAAACCCTTTGTATCCAAATAGGTTTCCGTTTAGACTTTTGTGATTAATGTTTATGAGAAGTGATTTCCCGGTACTACGAAGAAGTTTGACTGGGACGTATTTTAGAAAACAGCAGTCTCATAGGTAATTGAGTATCTCAAACACTTGCCAACGTTATGTCATACAATGCAATTGCATTACGAAAAATTTACTATTATCGGGACACAATACCACGCCCTGCAGTGTTTAGACCTGATAATAAGATAAACAAACAACAAGGTCATTTGGCACATATTAACTCAAAAGAAATACTCTTACCATAACAGGATGTATTCTGCATAATTGATACAGGACTGGGAACTAACTCTATTGTATGTGAGCGTGCCTAATCGATCGATCATATTAACGTGAATCTCGAAAGTTGATTGGTGCATTTTTTCTGTTTAATAATGATGTGGCATATTTCAGTCTTTTTTGGATTTAAATTTAATTATGTTACACTTTAATAGTATTTACGGTCGGTCACAATCAATGAAGTTTTCCCGATCCTGTTGATGCATGACCAATATTAAATTACGTTTGTGCGTGAAATTCGAATTGGCCAATCAGAATTTTGGTTAGTATTATCTAGGGGTAAGTAAATTAATTGGGGGACAACTCAGGTTTACACATACAGATCTTGTGAATCCAAAACTGTCACGCCTAAAATTAAAAATGATATGCATTCATATAAGAGTGTTTTAAGCAGCCGATCCACCAAAGTTGAGTTCCCAAGACTAATACCTTTATATTTTCTGAGAATTGTCAATTTTGGAGCGAAAATGACTTTTAAGCATAAAATAATATATACATTCATTTCTAGTTTCTGGTAGTAGTTGTTTGCAAATAAAAATTTTTAACAATAACGAAATTGTAATAAGGAGAGTGTGAATGGTGAATATATCAAGAGGTAATTAATATATATATATATATGTATATAAACCATTAAAAAAAATATTAATATATAGGAAAAACAATTAAATTTTTTTTACCTCAAAGATGATGAAAAATATTGCAACCAATATATAGAAAGCTATATTAATGGTAAAGTCACATTTAACTGTAAATTAATAATAAGTGATTTACTATGACTGTGCACTTCATGTGGGTTTTTTAATTTTAATATAAAGATTGATCACAACATGTAATAATCCTTATTCATAAAAAAAATATTTGAATCATAAACAATAAACTTTTCATTCAATAAATTCTATTAAAAATAAACCACAAATCATAGAAATAAATGAAAATACTAAAATTGTTCACAAAAATGCTAAAATGAACTAAATAAATAAATATGTATGTATCTATCATGCTATCTCCATGTTTTTGGTGATCTTTCATATAAATAATTCAAATAAAAGCTTGACCTTTATTTGCAAAATAGCTTACCTTCTTTATTCTCAGAATTTATACCACTATTCATAGTAAATTCCAGTAATGCAGGAAACTGCAATTATTTGCATTATATATATTGTTTCCACTTTTTGATATTGCCCTTTCTTTGAAAATCCCCAATGAAATTACATAAATCAGTATCTTTTTACAGTTTTCCTAACACACTTACCTCAAATGATATCAGCATCCCATACCATTTTATTATCATATTTTTTTCCTATATTGTTTTCCCTTCCAAAAAGCCAATCCCAATCCTTCATCAATCTCATCTCTCTTAATCCTATTCCATAAAATTCACCATTCAATTTAATCTTTTGCCTAATGAAAGAAGAAATGTCCAATAGTTGCAGTAGGTCTGTTGCTCCAGTAAAGTGCTTGATCAGATATCCTTTAGAATAGATGCAAGATTGGAACTTGAATAATTGGACTCTAAAAATATGTGAAAAGTGCAGATCTTTTGCCACTAAATAACCTTTTTTTCTTCAAAGAATTTGGGGTTTGTACTAGGAAAATCAAGCTACCAGACAAAAAATCTATTTTTGGTGACAACTCTTATAAATTTGGTTACACATATCTTTTTTAATATATAGAGAAAATATTCCAATCCTTGTTGTATCTCATTTTTCTACTATGCAAACAGGGTTCAATTTTTTCACCAATTTATAAATTCTTATGTTAGAAATTATTGTTGAGTAAAAAGTCAAGAAAAAAAAAAGAAGCTGGTATCTTGATTTTCCTAGTACAGACCTCATTTATCCATGAATAAAAGCTATCCATTTTTTATAAAATTTTTTGTTTTTATCATAAATTAAAGTCCCTCTAGATATTTATCATGTTCAAAAGAAGAAATATACCAACTTTTCTCTGAGATCAGGTTGAATTTCTAAATTTGTTGCAAAGCTTCTTGCATTTTTGATTTTTTAGCTCCTGGAACAGTTTCATGTGTTTCTATTAATGTCAAGATTTTACATATTTAATATTAATATAATTTTGACCCATGTAACATGATAAATTCTTGCCATTTCTAATTTTTTCAACCGAACCTTTTTTTTAAGAGTTGGAGTTGTAGAAAAGGTAGCCATATATAAAATATATAAAAATAAAGCTGAAGTTTAAAGGTTTCAAGGATTTTGGTATTAACTGCGGGTAATTTTGAAATTTATTATGTTATAATATGACGTGTTTCGTGTTCCATTTATTGTGACGTGACAGTTTTAGGTTCACCAGATCTATGCGTGTAACCTTGAGTTGTCCCCCATTTATTTACTTACCCCTAGGTATTAGTATTATATTATTACATATTATCCCTTAAACGGTTAATCAGCTATTGATAGCTGATAAAATTTTTCTGATATAAAAAATTGTTTCTAAGGACACCACTTTCTAATAAGCATAATGGACATCCTTATAATTGGTAATGATTTTCGTTGATCATATTTTGATTTTATCACGCAAAAAAACAAAT